TCCTAAATACCTAAGTAAATAGTACTTGGGTTTTTAGCAGCTCCTAAATACCTAAGTAAATAGTACTTGGGTATTTAGCAGCTCCTAAATACCTAAGTAAATAGTACTTGGATATTTAGCAGCTCCTAAATACCTAAGTAAATAGTACTTGGGTATTTAGCAGCTCCTAAATACCTAAGTAAATAGTACTTGAGTATTTAGCAGCTCCTAAATACCTAAGTAAATAGTACTTGGGTATTTAGCAGCTCCTAAATACCTAAGTAAATAGTACTTTGGTATTTACAACAACACAAAATACCTAAATACTTTTGTACTTAGTACTTAATACTTAGTAAATACAATTTTGCCCATCACTGATCCTGATTTGGCTTTTAATGTGCACTTGCAAACATTGCAATAAGCCTCGTAACCTCAAGTGTTTACAAAACCAGCGGGATCCTTAGTCCAATAATCCAAAAAAAAATGACCGTACGCTTGGTATGCATCGTGTTTAAGTCATTTGTGTGCAAAGGACAAATATCTTTTGAAGTTCTACTGACAAGATTTAGTAACCGAGAAAAGTTACTGGGAAGTTAAAAACGTAATTTTTTGCACAAAAAACGTCCGAACGTCAACAAGATACAAAAAACGTCCAAATGACGTTAAAAACGTCAACCTGGCAACGCTGTCCACGAAATGCGATGGACGGGGCAAGGGGAGGTAAGCGTGGAGCCTTGCGACGTCTACTATAGTTACGGTGACCATATTTATGAGAGCCGAATACGGGACAAAAATAATTTTGCAAATTCTTTCCACCACAGCTTACAGATCTGAAAGCCTCCTTCAATGAACCTAGATGTATTAGCCCTGAAACAGTATCCTTTTAGTAAAATCAAAAATTTGTAGGATAATTTTCTCGAGATTTTTACCCCGAAAAATTTGTTTAAAAAATTCGTTAAATTTTAGTATAATAAAGCGCAATATTAAGTCGCTAAGGCTTGCCATTAGTTTTTGGCAATTTTTGTTTTTGTTGACGGTGTTGCGTATTTTTTCGTACAGAGTAAGTGAGATATTGCAGAATTAATTTTTATAGTTTTTTGGCACAATGTTGGTAATTTGATATTATATGATTTTTGTTAGGAGAAGAGCTTTACTTTCATAAATAATAAATTTTAAATAAACTAAGGAAAATATCCAAAACTTACTAAAATGTCGAGTGCTAATTTTTATTTTAGTCACTGTATGTTATCCTCGATTCGAATCACAGGCATTCAGATTAGAAAATAATAACTGTTTATGGAGAAAATTACGATCACATACCAACATCACTTAAAACTCGTTCATAGACATGCCATTTTAATGAGCTCTTAAGTGGGCGAAATACCAAATACGGGACATTAAAAGAAATACAGAACATTTAGCGTCCCGTATAAAATAAATAAATTAACAGGACAATGGGTAAAAAAAGAGGACTGTCCCGTATAATACAGGGCGGATGGTCACCGTAACTATAGTTGCCACGTAAAGGAGCGAAAATTCGCTGTTGGATTTGTGGTGGAAGAGAGACTCTGTCGCCGAGCACCGGCGTTCACTCTTCTTCAACAACTCGCTCTTACGTGCTAATGCCCCGATAGCGGAGAAGGACGAGGCATCCAAGGATCTCTTCTATGAACGCTTAGAAGGCACATATAGCGCTGCCCCCGACTCGTATAAAATTCGTGCTTGGCGATTTCAAAGCCAACGTGGGTAGCAAGGGAACTTTGGCGCCACTGTCGGAAAATTCAGCCTGCACAACGAAATGTCCGATAACGGGCTGAGGCTGATCCACTTCGCCGGGGCCCGAAAGTTGATAGTATGTGGTACTGGGTTCTAGCATAAAAATATCCATCAAGCTACATGGCTGTCTCCAGCTTGAAAAACGGGAAACCAATTCGAGCATGTTGTGATAGGCGGAAGGCACACTTCCAGTGTTTTAGATGTACATACGTACGCTGCGAGGGCCAAAATTGTGTAGCACCGCTACATTGATGAAGCCAATATACGCACCCGCCTCGGTACAGCAAACAATGTGCGCCCAACAATGCAACTTCGAAAAGCTGCAATCAAAACAGACAGCCAATTGATTCGCCACTCAACTCTCACACCTGTTGTGAGAGAGAACTCTTCAATAAACCGACATACGCGAGCAGTGCCACCACATTTCCCGCTCATTACTGATGCGATGAGGAGTGTCAAGAAGCTGCAGAGAAAAAAGGTGCCTCCTACATGCGATCGGGCCCAACGCGAGCCGCGTGGAACCGTTAGAGGGAAGCTAGACGTATTTGCCTCAATAAGAAGAGAGACAGGAAAAAGGCCCGAAAATTTGATCTGAGTGTTAGGCGACGTACGGAAGGTTTCAAGACTCCTGTACGAACAACCATTGCGCCCTAGTGACCGATGTCCAGAACGTACTTAAGTTATGGAGGGAACACTTTTTGACCCTTTTGAATGGCAGCAGCACTGAAAGAAGTGGAGAAGACGTCCCCGAGCCCCCAGTCGACGACGATGGAGTCGATGTCCCAACGGCGACCCCGCCATGCGCGCCAACTATTTTACCGAGCTTGTTGTGTGAAATACTGAAGCCCTCCTCCAACAAGCTGATTACGCCTTACCAGTGTGGCTTCATATCTGCCAAATCCACCATAGATCTGGTATTCGCAATACGCCAAAACTTGGAAAAGACCCGTGAGAATAGTATCGACACAATTGTCGATTTCAAAGGAAAGGAAGTTGTTTTTATTTCGTGATGTCTCAATTTCGTATCCCCGCGAAAATAATACGGCTGCGTAAAATGACGTTAAACAATACTACTACCTCCTACAAAATTGAGGGGAACCTCTCCAAGCCGTTTGATACCAAACGAGGTTTCAGACAAGGTTTATTTCTTAAACAGATGTTGGAGAAGGTAAAAAGGGTCGCAGAACTGAACCGCTCAGGCACAATACTTTGCAAGAGCGTGCAATTGCTGGCGTATGCCGAGGACATCGACATTATTGTTGCAAGTAAGAGCTACGCCTGTTCTGCCTTCTTGGAATTAGATAGAGAAGTAAAGCGTGTGGGCCTGATGGTGAACGATGACAAAACGAAGTATCTCCTGTTATCACACAAACAGTCATCGCATTCGCGCCTTGGCACCCACGTTCCGGTTGACAGTCATCACCCATCATTTAACTGAAAAACCACTCGTTAGTTTTTCCATAATACTGGTAAGTCAAAGAAAGGCAAACGATTCAAATTTTTTGTATCTGGCATGCATAAAGAAAGAATGTTGTAGTTATTGAGGCTAAATTTTGTTGAAGTTGCACTTATAAAGGTTACAATGTTTTGATAAAGAGACTTGCATTAAGAAAAAAATTGCTTGTATTGAAGGTTGCGGTTATCCAGCACGCACCGTAAATATTTTTCATGGGATAAAGAGAAATCAGGTTACGAACAATTATATGGCTCAACCTATGAAAACGCGTTTTTTGGCCTTAAGTCCAGATTTTAGGGGGTATTCAAAATTCTAAGTATGCATATTTTTTGTGCTTCACTAGATTTATAACATTACCTGTCACACAGTGCTATAATCCGGACGAAATCCTAGACGGTGGTACCGGGACGGGAACGGTATATGGCGGTAGGAGGTTTAGTTTGGGTTAAAGTCTCCCACTGACGGGGATAGGTTTTCGATGCGTCCTCCTCGTAAAAAAACATGCGCAGTAAAAAGTTATCAACGTTTGTGAACTTCTGTTTATGTGTTTTTGTACAACATACCTCTATCGGTTACAATAATTTTATTTTTGTTCAGTAAGTAATAGTTATAGGGTTTGAATTTTTTTTTGTATAGGAGACCCCCCACATTTTTGTAGAGGTAAGATGGAAATAGTTTTTCCACCTAGATTTGGATTTCAGACCACTGTGGGCGCTTTAAACCGAATATAACCATAATGTAGTCATTTTCGGTTTCAACGGCCGAAAAACATGGAAATACGCATACATTTCAATTTTGTATGAAAATTCAAAATACGAACCCATTTAGGGTGTAGTAAGGAGGTTATAAGAAGTGAGGGAGGGGTATATTGAATTTTTTAGTCATTTTCGGTTTCAACGGTCCAAGAAATATAGGAATACACACTCATCTTAACTTTGCGTGAAAAATTAAATTGCAATCCCCAGGTGTGGTTGTAAGAGGGTGAAAAGTGGTCCGTTGAAGGTAATATTTTCGTCATATTCGTGTTCAGCGACCTCATAATAATGTAATTAATATACAACTGCTTTCGGATTTTCCACCTAAAAGTGTCAAATGCCTCTTCTCTGGAGTTTGGTATGTTCACGAAAGTTAAGGGCTGAGACATTCTAAACAGCTTTGCCAAAGAAATTTTGCCGAAAAAAACAAGAAGATAAAAAGTAGAAAAATTTCAATTCGAGGCAAAATTTCCAAAATAAAAAGATGTATGAAGACGTGCAGAAAACTTAAAAAACGAATTATGCAGTTCGATTCCCAATACCCCAAATAGGGTGAAACCGTCTTCTCCAGCCATGTATTTTTTTGCGGCAATAACAGTGTTATGAATAATTTGCCACTGAGCAAAAACGCATGAGTAAACGAGGCAAGTGCAGCAGCATACTCGTGATAGAAGTGAAACTTCTTTAAAAAACACCTGTGTGCACCGCAGAGAATTAGACGAATAGAGTTGCTTATTGTATCTAATGTTGGTACCAAGTTGAAGACTAAGGAATCTGTTGTGAATCATTGAAATCGTGCAATAACTACGCCCCCCTCTCATATAACGTTAATTTACTGGAACACGAAAATTTCGATAAATCAGTAACTCCTTAAGCTAATTCACTTAAAATTGACTATTGCAATAATCACTTAGCAGAAAATTAGACTATGTATTATGAATTTTTGGATTTTGGACGTGGCGCCGCCCACTTTGACCACAAATGTGTATCTCGATAACCGATTTACCATTTTCTACCAAACTCGTTGCCCTTAATAACCATGGTACCTTATTAACCATGGTAAGCAATTTGTTGAAAATCGGACTAAAATTACACCCCTTCCGGTATAGGGTAAATTTCAAAAAGACGAGAACTCCGATATTTCAACAACTGAGGATACTAACTTACTCCAAGTTAATACTTAACAATAAATACGTTTGTTATAGACTTTTAGGAATTGGGCGTGGCACCGCCCATTTTATGACCACAAAGGTAACCGCTTTATCGATTTCTACCAAATTTGGTTCAATGATTTCGTTCAGTCAGCATATTATCGAAAACGTTTGAAATCGGGGAAAACACCCCTGCTGATCATGCAAAGGTAGTTGAGGAAAGTTTAAACGACGACATTTGATACCTGCGCCGGGTATATAAAACTGGTTTTCTCCCGAACTTATACTTCTTTACTTGTTGGTATGTAAAATGTTGCATGAAATATTGCCTAACTACTTTTAATAATTATAAACCTTAACAAGAAAGAAAGCACAGAGGCTACTTATTTTTTAAGCTCTTTTATATATTTTAGAGCAATTCGCTCTTCAGTCTAATGGCGATAAAAACGGAAAAAGAGCAACAGTGTTCCTCAAATCGACGAAGATTACCCGTTAAGGGTTAAGTTTTGTTTTCATTTCATTCGGTATTTAATTTTATAAACATTTAACTTTTAAAAAATTATTTGTTTTTATCAAAGTTATTAATATTATAATCATTTTTAATAAAAAAAATTCTTGAATCCTCCAAAAATTGCAGTTTTCAGTTTTCTCTAAACCGCATTTTTGGCCCTTGACCGGTATCTGAAATAATCGATACAACAGAACAGGGGTTCCCAAACATTTAAGGGAACCACCCTTACTAAATACCTTTTATTTTATGGAACCCCACATAAAATTACTAAAAATCAAAGGTATTTAGTGCAATTTAAATACGAATAAAAAATTTTACTAGAAACAAAATACATACTTTGAATTTTAATGTGAAGAATGATATTGTTTTACTGTTATTAATTATTGCTTTATAGTTCGATATTATGTCTGAAAGCTGTATGCGCATTTCTGGGGTGGCGTCCAATTTCGACCTGTATTTGTCTTTTGTATAAGTTTAAGCTGAAACCCCTGTTTCACAACAATAAGTTGTGACAGAAGTAAATTTCAAATAGCCTTTTTAGCGACTTCATGGTATTCACTCCTAAGACTAACCATAAACTCGTTAAGAGACACAGATTCAAATGTGTGTTTCAATATCAAAGAACTCTGAATATCTATGAATGCTTTGTAAATGAATTTTGTCCCCAATCGATATTGCTACTACCATTCGAAAAATAATCTGACAAGTGTCCAGTTATCACATTTCACATTTCATTTGGCAATTCATCGCGATTCTTGTAGAAATTTGTATAAACGTGGGAAACATTCAATACTATTCTTTTGCACACAGGTAATCCAAAAATTAAATTTTCTTTTGAAGGATGATAATATGTCTCTCCCCAAAATACAGTTGTTGATTTTCCATGCAAAAATGTAGTAATTTCACTGATCTTTCCAAAAGTGTTATAAGCTGGATATAATAATAATAATATTTTGGCGCTTACACCTAAATGTTTGGCCGAGCTTTTCCGATTTGTGGCGTGCATCTTGATGCTGTTACAAAAAGTTTTACGCCGCCGTGGAAGTACACTCCTAGGTTTGCCATTGCCTGCCGAGGGACAACCGCTGTTGAGAAAAACCTTTTCCTCTATATTTTTGCGATATTGCTTTGACCAGGAATCGAACCCAGGTCATTCGGAGTGGTAGAACGCACCTCTAAACCTTTGGATACAGCGGCCAACAACACATACAAGTAAGAAAAAAACAAGATGTCAAGCGCAACGCTCAACGCTCTTATGTATGTAGGCAGGGCAGTCAGTACGGCAATCATACTAACTACGAGTACATATGTATGAGTATGTTCTTGTAAATAGATAATTGCGTCTTGGTCATGCTGTTCACATAACTTTTCTGCTATAGAAAACCAAAGGAAGTTCCATCTGTAAATTTAAACGATAAACAAAATAAAGTCCTATTGTGTCTTACGCTCCCCAATATGAACATTTGACGATGGATCTTATTTTTACACAGTTAGGCGATTCAAAAGACGTGTTAAGCTTCGTAATGTCTTGAAGTCTTAAAAATTCTCTGCGTAAAATAACTTTTAATGGTTTTAGGGGTTTTGTAACTAAATGTTTTAAAACTGATAGAAAATAAAGCCATTCATCTAAACACGCAAACGACTCACAACCATGTAAACATGGGCGTAGCAGAACGAAACTTACAAAAACTTATACAAAAAAAAACTCAAACCCAATAACTTACTTACTAAAAAATTTTGTATCATAGCTTAAAATTATTGTATCTAATAGAGGTAAATATGTTGTACAAAAAACAAATAAACAGAAGTTCAAAAAAGTTGATATAACACTATTCGTCGATTTAAATTGTTAACTTTTTAATGAGCATGTTTATTTTACGAGGAGGAAGCATCGAAAGCGTAACCCCGTCAGTGTGAGACTTTAACCCAAATTAAACTTCCTACCGTCATGTACCGTCCCCCTCCCGGTACCGCCGTGAAGGATTTCGTTGGGATTATAACACTGTTTGACTGGTAACGTTATAGATCTATTCTCTTCTTATTCTTATTTGGCGCTGTAACCGCCAAAGCGATTTTGGCCAACTGACGCCAATTGGAAATGCCAACTGAAGCCAGAATACTTTCAGAGGTGGGGCGTCGGTGTCCATTCGAACGACATTGTCAAGCCAGTTGAGCCGCTGTGTTTTAATTCGTCATATACCAGCACGGGCATGATGAGTGAGTTATAGTGTGGTTTTCGTACGTCGAGAGAGGACTTTACTCCTGAATTGCCTACTCAGTCCAAAGCCAGTACTTATTGGCAAGAGCGATTCTGCGTTGGATTTCCATGCTGACATTATTATCGGTGTTAATGCTGGTTCCCAAGTAAACGAAATTCTCTACTTTCTCGAAATTATAACTGTCAGAAGTGACGTGGGTGCCAAGGCGCGAATGTGCTGATTGTTTGTTTGATGACAGGAGATACTTCGTCTTGTCCTCGTTTACCACCAGACCCATTCGCTTTGCTTCCTTGCCCAACTTGGGAAAGACAGGACAGACTTCGCGGTTTTTCTTACCGATGATGTCAGTGTCATTGGCATAAGCCAGCAATTGTACGCTCTTGTAGTAAATTGTTCCTAAGCGGTTCAGTTCTGCAGATCTTATTATCTTCTCCAACATCAGAGTAAAGAAGTCACATGAAAGAGAGTCGCCCTGTCTGAAACCTTGTCTGGTGGCGAACGGCAAAAGAGCAGAGCTGGTCAACGTCATTTTTCACAGCCGTATGAGTTTTGAGGGGATACCAAATTCAGACATAGCGGCATATAGGAAACTCCTTTTAGTGCTGTCGAAAGCGGCTTTGAAGTCGACAAATAGGTGGTGAGTGCCGATCCTTTTCTCGCGGGTCTTTTCCAAGATTAGGCGTACTGTAAATACCTGGTATATGGTAGACAATACATTCGATAAGACCTTGCAACCTATGCTTAGGAGGCTGATCTCACGGTAGTTGACATGCATGGCGGGGTGGGCTTTCTTGTGGATTAGGCAGAGCGCACTAGAATTCCAGTCATCGTTGCCATCCAGTTGCCATCGTTATTAAATAGCTCAGCTGACAGGCCGTCAACTCAAGCAGCTTTGGCACTTTTCGTCATAGTCAGGAGCTGGGATATCGACTCCATCGTCATCGAGTGGGACCTCGGGTTCGTCTTCTTCACTTCTTTCAGTGCTTCTGCCATTCAAAAGGGTCGAAAAGTGTTCCCTCCATAATCTGAGTACGTTCTGGACATCGGTAACTAGGTCACCATCGTTGTGCCCACAAGAGTCTTGAAACCTTCCGTAAGTTGCTCAACTCTCTGCTAAAAATTTCGGGTGTTTTTTCTGTCGGCCAGCATTTCAAGCATTTTCTCACACTCCTCATCGTACCAGTAATGAGCGGGAAATGTGGTTCCACTGCTCGGTTTGTTGAAGAGTGCTCTCTCACAGCAGGTGTGAGGGTCGAGCGCCGAATCCATTGGCCGTCTGTTTTGATTGCAGCTTTTCGACGTTGAACTTTCCCTGCATTGTTGGGGGCCCTTTTGTTGGTTCTCCGAGGTTGGGTCGTATCATGGATGCATCAATATAGTAGTGCGAGTCGATGTTTGGCCCTCGGAGTGTACGTATGTACATCTAAAGCATGGAAGCATACCTTCCGTCTATCACAACATGCTCGATTTGGTTTCCCGTTTTTCGATGTGGAGACATCCATCTAGCTTGATGGATCTTTTTATACTAGAATCCAGTAATACATACTGCCAAGTTTCGGGACCCGGCGAAGTGTATCACCCTCAGCCCGCCGTTTCTATGTGGAGGCTGATTTTTTCGACACTGGCACCAAAGATCCCTTCGTTGCCCACCTTGGCATTTAAATCGCCAAGCACGATTTTTATACGTGTCGGGGGCAGCGCTAATATGTACGCTCTAAGCTAAGAGAGCATTGGATGCCTCGTCCTTCTCTTCCATCGGGACATTGGCACATATGAATGAAATGCTGAATATTTTCGCTTTGATGCGGATTGTGGCTAGACTTTCGTCCACTAGAGTGAACGCCGGTCTCTCTCCCACCACAAATCCAACACCGAATTGCACTCCTTTACGTGGCAACTGTAGTAGACGTCGCAAGGCTCACGCTTACCTTCCTCGCCCCGTCCATCGCATTTCGTGGATGGAGGTGATGTCAGCCTTTATTTTCCCTAGGACTTCAACCAGCCGGGCAGAGGCACCATCACTATTAAGGGTTCGGATATCCCAAGTGCATACCCTAAAATCATATTCCTTCCTATGTTTGTCGTAATCGCCAACAAAAGAAGGGGGTATCATCCGAGGCATGGGTTTTATTTTCATTGGGCAGGGTTTTAACGTTGCGGGACTCAAACCCAGCGCACGCGGGGTGTTACGCCCTCCCACTTTACCTCGCTCCCAAACTAGCGTTCGGTCGCTACCCAGAGTATTAATGGATAAAAATATCCGGCCGTAGTTAGCTGCGATTTGAACCGTAAGCACACAAATCACTTCTGGCCACTCCCAGGTGAATGGCAGTCAAAAGCTTTGCAGTACTGTGAAACGTACAAAACATAGTGGTGAAAAACGAATATCTCAACTAAAACCTGATGAATTTTTTAAATTCATAGTTCTACATACCTGTATAATAAACCAAATAGCCGGACAAAATGTTTGATGATATACATATGTATGTATGTATAAATATGAGGGCGTATTGAACATTTTGAGTATGCTTAATATATTACTTGATTTTGTTTTGTCACACTTAAGAAGTAAACGTCTTTGCTGTTCACCCAACCGGTCTATAGTTTTACCAATAATCTCAGATTGGTTCTGTGATACAAAACTTTCGTTGTACGCTTAGAAAAGACACAAACCTAAAGACAAAGTAATAAACAATTGAACTATAAATTTATTTATAGCTTCCGTTCAATAAATTTTTGCTCATTGTCGACTGCAGCCAGGTTTTTACCCTTTTAAAATGAAATGCTTTGAAGTTAGAGATAATAATTTGATACAGAACCGGATGATCCACATATCCACTTTTTAAATCAATTTACTAATAATTTTGTTAGCGTTGGGAGTATAATTTGTTTTACAGTATATATATAGGAAAAACCTTGAAATTTAGGGGGGCCGAAATTATCAAGCAAGCATTTCTTGGTACTATTTTTGAATATCTAGGCAAAAATTTGGAAGTTAGGGGGGGGGGCCCGGGCCCCCCCTGCCCCTACCTGGCTACACCCATGCATGTAAACCTCGTAAACTTACTTAATTATGTATGGAAAATCGGTATATTTACGAGGTTTACGCGGTTACGAGGCATTTACGCGTTTCCATGAATTCCAATAATATATAATTCGTTTTCATCATATACGTTTAACACGCCTTGTCAGTCTCCTAAGTATTTATAAGGAGATATAAATTTATACCAGTTTAACACGCCTTGTCAGTCTCCTAAGTATTTATAAGGAAATATAAATTGTAATGTTCGAATATGAATAATTCCATTTAATATATATGTCGCAAGAACTTCTCAAAGATGCAAAATATATACATATTTTTTTTTTTTATAAGAGCATCCCTATTATAAATACACGTGCAGTTATATTTTACATCTGTACATAAATGCTGCCACTTTAATATACAAACCTTTATAATGGATGTGCATCTATTCAATATTTTGTGTATTTATTCTTTTATAAACATATATTTTCTTTCAGGCTGTCGTGAGACAGGCTTTATTTATGCCATCACCAGTGCCGCTGTCACACATTCCATTGCGCGCGCCTGCAGCGAGGGCTCCATTGAATCGTGCACCTGTGATTACAGCCATCAGTCGCGATCGCCGCAAACGAGCCAACTTGGCAGCGTAGCAGGTGTTCGCGACTGGGAATGGGGGGGTTGTTCGGATAATATTGGATTTGGTTTTAAATTTTCACGTGATTTCGTAGACACCGGAGAACGTGGACGCAATTTAAGAGAAAAAATGAATTTGCATAATAATGAAGCTGGCAGAGCTGTAAGTATCCCGCTGCATCCTTTGCATGAATATGAACTTTATTGATTATCAATTTTAAATTTACAACCTGGATAATTAAAATATATACTCCCCTAGTTAAGAAAAGGCTTTCTGAATATATGTACATACAAATGTATTAAACATATTTATATATATATATATTTTTTTTTAAATTTAAGTATGTACCTTATTAGAATTTTATAATGAAATTGTCTATATACCAAGGCACATTGACCAGGTAGTATCATTAGAGCAGCTGATTAGATTTTTTTTTTCAAATTCTTACCATGATACAAAAAGAAGGTAGTTTCGTTTCAAAATTTTTTACAAAAAATGTGTTTTTAAAGTTTCATAAAGTGTACAAAATTATGAGCTACCTTGTCACATTGATAGTAATCAAACAATACATCTGGGGATTTAATGTTGTGCGTGGGAAATGTTCGGTTATTTGTACAATGATTTTTTGGTGGGGAGCGGAGGGTGTGTCGCCTAAAACTCATTAGAAAGAGCACAGTATAAACTTAAAGAAAATTCATCCTTCGCCTCCCTGCCCCTTTTACAGGCACTCCGGGGCCCATTTCCAAATAGGGTAAAACTAGCATTTTCGCAAAGAAAAACTAAACTCTTGTTAGGCCATCAGCACTATTTTTGCGCAAAACTCCGCCCTACAAAAAATAACCTCATCAGTCCAACTCCGATTACGCCATCCACAGTATTTTTGCGCAAAATCCACCTCCAAATTTACAAAAAAATGCATATTTCAAACCGCAATCTTTTTCTTTTGAACTAAAGCTTAATCCTTGACTAGACGTATATGTTAAAATTTTTTGATTCGGGTCACGTGTTTGGACACGATAACACAAAACCATTGTACAAATAACCGAACCGTGTCCGAACTTTCTTACATTTTTCTATAAACAAAAATTGTATAAAATGAAACTTCAGTAGTTTTCATCTTATGTGGATAATTCTTGTCACAAATACATATGTAGTTTCGAGCTGATATTTATGTATATACTAGGGATGTTGCGAATGTGAAATTTTAGACATCCGTGGATGCGAATGCGGATGTCTAACAGCTAACATCCGCGAATGCGAATGCGGATGTCAAGTATTTTTAAGAAATAACCAGGTAATAAACTAAGTTATTTAGATAAATAAAAAATTTAAAAGTTAGTAATTTTTAATCATGTTTACTTTATTTAGTACTTGAATTTAAAAATTGAAAATTTTATGAGAATTGCATCGGGGGCTGCAAATGTCGGATGTATCCTCCTGACTTTCATGTTCACCTGAAGAATCTAGCATAATGGTGAGATCGTTGTTTAAACATCGCTTACAAACCAAACCAGATGTGTCAGGTTTTTCTGAAGCCTTTTAAAAAGAATTCTTCATTCTCATTCCTTTGGCAGTTTCAGAATTTGGGGAACTTGTAACGTCATAAGCGTTTTTCGATTTTAGTTTTTGTAATTAATTTTTAATGGTTTCTTCTGCGACTGGTGTGAAGAATTTGTGCTTATAACGAGCTAGATAGGTGGATATGGAAAATAAATTATTATTTTCGGATATGGAAAATAAATTATTATTTTCAGGAATGACAATTTTGAACAAAATTATGTTTTTAAGATCCTGGCTGCCAGCCGAATCGGATCAGAATATTGTTATTTTTTGAAAAAAGCACCCCGTTTTTTTATAAGCATTTGAATTATTGGAATCACGAATGATGAGGGTTTCAGATAGTTACGTAATTCTTACCTAATTAAAGGTTAGACCTATAGCCTTTTAAATATTTCAGTATCGATTCTCTTTATAGCTAAATGTTGAAGATTTCTGCTGGAAATCCCTATTGTAGGAGCTTAGTCTTTCATTTTAAATAGCAAAGAAGGGAGACGTAGGGGGAGTGTTTTACCACAGAGGCCTTCAAGCAAGGATCCAGTGTACATATTAATCTATGAAAAAAATATTGCCCGACAAGTAAAAAGAATTACTGTTTTTAAAATTTTTCCTTAAAATAAATTCCCCAAAGAGCCTCATTTGAAGTGATTGAAACGAATATATCGTGACCTGAAATGCAAAAAGACGTCATAACTGCTAGTATCGCTAGTACTATCGTCGTGAAGGGTATTGAATAGCGACAGGCAAAATCTGCATATAGTTTTTATATGAAAAAATTAAATTCGGATTTTGTTTGTCCCTTTTGAAGTGCAAAGAGTGAAATTGGCTATAATAATACATTTCTAATACTACAAAACAAACAAAACACAAAAGATATTCATTTAAATTGACTACGCATACTTATAAGAGTTCAACTGAAATCAAATACGGAGGCGCATATCAAAATCCGAAGAAGGGAAATTATTAATATTTTACCAGATTATAAGAAAACGAATATAGTACTGCTCAAAATAATATCACTACAAAATTTTTAGCAGTTTTGACTATTTAGTGTCTACTAATTTTTTATAAAAGTTGTACAAAACATAATAAACTATAAAATCATTAAATTTCAAGCTTTTTCATTCGAACTTCTACAAAAATTTTGTGTAAGCTGTTTTATAGCTTATTAAATTTTACTATAACTCAGTGTAAGCTTATAGTTGCTAAAAATTCCAATGACTTGAATTTTTTTTGCCGACTGTTGTGAATTTTACTGCATTAAAAAATGAAGACATTAATGAAGAGACATTTTGAAGTTTCGCTAAAACCGACATCGATAGTTTTCGAAAACTATCGCTAGTGGCGCCAGTTTTCAACTATCGATATTACTATCGCTAGTATCCCAACTCTAATTTCTACTACTTCTACCACCGTAAGCTAAACAACTCTCAGATCTTGAACCTTCTTTTTTCTTAATTTGTTCATTTGCGCATTAATGAATAGGCATTTTCTACAACAAAAAAGAACATAAGCAATGCTGCGACATCGCAACATTTATGATATTATCGTCTTCGTGCGTCTTAAGCAGGGATCACACGATTTGTACATTTGTACACAAAATGCCAAAATTAGATTTGTCCACATTTTCGCATTTGGATAGCGATGTACAAATAATTTATTTTGCGATCAGACGATTTGGCTGCCAAAGATCCAAATTTTGGCACACATTTGCGCACGACAGTAAAGTGACAAATATTGTCCACATTCATTCACACGATTTAACCATTTGGTCATAAATACTTAAACAGCTGATCCGGTGTCAACCGTACTTTTGCATTTATGATTTCGTAAGATTTGAAGTGGAATAAACAAAAATAATATATACGCATAGGTACTCAGAATTTTGAATACACCCTCAAAATCTGGGCTGAAGGTAAAAAACGCGTTTTTCATAGTTTGAAGCACATACTTGCTCGTAACTTTATTTCTGTTTGCCCGATGAAAAATACTTATATATGTAATTTAAGAGAAAACCTTTCGTTGTTTACAACCATTTATAAATAGTTAATTTGTCTTGAGAAATGGTGGAGCAATCTAGGGAACGTCTTGTCGGGCTTTTTTGTTCACTAGTATATAAATATATATGTATATATATGCAGACCCAATCAAACCATCAATAAAATTTATCCCATGATGTGATATCTCTCTTAAATTTTAGTACTAGAAAAAGTGCAGAACATATTGGTCAAAGTCTAATGTCTCAGCCAAACCCTAATTGATTTTAAAAATTTATAGCTAATTAAAAACAAAACTCCTTACGGCTTCTTTCTTATATATGTACATTAAAGTGGCCCTTACTTTTGAAAATCGGAAATTTGCAGGTGCTACCCCTTGAAATGGTTACCTTTATTGAAAAGGTAATTCCCTAAAAATTTTGGCTCAATTAATCAAGTCTAAACCGTGCCACAGACGGGTCGAAGTTGAGATAACGACAGTATCACTTTGCGTCAGTGCTGCCTTTGGCTTGCCACCTTATTAGCGGCCTTTTCACGGTTACTATTGTATAAAACATAGTATGATGCAAAACAAAATTATTTCTGTTCACCCCATCATTCAAAAATAAATGGACAAGTAATTTTTAAGCAAAAAAAACCGACTTCCATTCTCATATACAAATTTAAGATTATCGTTAATTTCTTCATGTTCCAATGATCGGATTTTAACCAAATTAGTATGGGACCACCTGTGGAGTAACGCCTTTCCTTTAAAAAAAGAATTATAGAAATCGGTTAACGTGGTCCAAAGTTATGCGGTAAAATTCGTAAATAAAAATATTCCGACGAATTGATAATTGATAGCCTTCGTCTTTTTGTGAAGTCGGTTAAAAATAAGTTTGATTTTGTTTCTTTAAAATGTGTATGTATATTTAGGATTTATTATATGTACGAGTAAGTAGATAATAACGCACAGAACCACGATACATGGTTCATTATTCCAACTCGTTTGTGACATGGGTTAATCTGGGTCAATTGAGTCTATATTAAATGATGAATATTTTCTCCTTATATATAACAATTTTAGGGGGTAGGGGGTAAATATACCTTTCATTTCATTTCAGTTTAAGCTAGAAAACTCGGTTTTGTACATTTATCAGTTTTGAATGACTATTTTTCATTAAATTTTAAAGATCGAACATGTTGTGAGAAGAGGATTTATAGGCCTTTAAAATGATGTATAATAATCTACTGTCATTCTTGGATTGTCGCGATTTTCATTGAGCAAATAAAAAAAATTTATATTTTCTTATTTTTTTAAGTTTTGACGATTCCTTATTTATACAATTACAAAATATGTAGTACAATTAAACTGATAAATCTACAAAACCATATTTTCTGACCTAAAATGACAAGTCGCGAACTTTGGCAACAATATTTCCCATAAAAAGAAAGGAAATTAGGGGTTAGGGCCTTGAAATAAAAAAATAAATACAAATTCGATGGGCACCCTATGTATGTATACTAGTAAACAAAATAGTCGGACAAGTCGTAATTTAAAATGAAAAAATTTTAAAAATTAAACGTTTGCATATAGTCTGTAAGATTCCTTTAAGTGATCGGACGTATACCACATTGTTGTAGATCTGCCACTTTTTTGAGCATCTACCACGC